ATAGTCATTATAGTCATTATAGTCATTATAGTCATTATAGTCATTATAGTCATTATAGTCATTATAGTCATTATAGTCATTATAGTCATTATAGTATTTTAATCTATTTTTTATAGATAATGATTATAGTTTTTTTTATATAATAAGAATATATTTAAATTTAAATATATTGTGATATAATATTTTATTCAGTTAATAATTAGGCTAAAAATATTTTGTTCTAATTATAAAGTAAGATATATTATATAGCAAAATAATTTTAAATAAACTACTCTATTTATATATATATATAATTAACTATATAAATGTATTAAAGATGGTCATAGGTTAATGGTAAACCGTTCGTCTTCCAAACGAATTATACCGATTCGAGTTCGGTTGGCCGTATATTAAATTGTATTAATAAATTAAACTTAAATACATATATTATTAAATAGTCTTATATAGACAATCATAGAGTTCAAATATATTTATATCTAGTTTTAACTCTATATTATATTTATATAAAATTTATTATAACGTAAAAATAGTTAATTCTTTAAGCTTTACTTGTATATTTCTCTCTAAAAGAGTAATATGTAAATATATCTAATTATTGAGGATAAATTATTTTAATTAAATTAGGCAATGTAACTTAAATTTAGGTCTAATTATACGTATATTTTTTATTTAAATTATAGAATTTTTAATATTAGTTAATAAAAATTATAATACAGATAATAAGAATTAGTAATTTAATAGGTAAATAGTTTTCTTGTCGAGAAAAAAGATATCGGTTCAAATCCGATTTAATTCGTAAAGGAAAAGTAACCATTGGTAGGGTAAGATATTTGCTAAATATTGTGCTTTTGCACATGTTGGTTCAATTCCATCCTTTTCCGTATTTAAACATTTTCCGTATTTGAATTTTCCGTATTTTCCATGTTTGAATATTTTACATGTTTTCCATATTAAATTATTTTTTCTAAAAAAGCGTTTATCTTTCAATTAAATATAGCTTATATTAAGTAAATATAAACATATTTACTTATTTTTTATTCTATTTTTATAGATAATGAAAAGAGTATAATTTAAAAGGTAAAATATAAAGCTTCAAACTTTAGTTTTTCAGTTCAAATCTGGATGCTCTTGAAAAAAAAATTTTTTTACAACTTTTTTAGCTTAGTTATTTTTTTGGTAAATCTACAATTTTTTTATATACAATTTTTTTTTTTATTAAGAAGCATAAATTTTATAGATTCTTTAACTTAAAGGTAAAGTGTACTTTTGATAAGAGTAAGATTGGCGTTCAAGTCGCTGAAGAATCATAAGTAATAAATCAAAGTTTTTTAACTTAAATAAACCATAAGTAAAACTACTTTAATTTAAAAGTTTTTTATTTTATATCACAATTATTATATTTTATTTAGTTATATTCTGTATATATTTTTAAAGCGCGTTAGCTAAATGGTATAGTATTGTACTACGGATACAAATTTTACAAGTTCGAATCTTGTACGCGTTTGTTTTTGTATATAATAATTTTTATTAATACGTATTATAAGATATATAGCAAATACTTAATTATATAAAAATAATTAAAAACTACTCTTAAATTTTTTGTTATATAATTATAGAGGATATATGATATTTATACTTTAATTCTATTTTAGATAAAAGTATAAGCTTATAAAAAAATTTTGAATAGTGATAAAAATTACCTTAAAGAAAAGACTATAAAATACTAAAATACCGTTTAATTATTTATTTAATTGAAACATAGTTTATTAAAAATAAAAAAAATAAAATTTTTACTTTTTAATATTCAAAAAAAAAAAATAAAAAGTTTTAATTAAACTGAAAAATAAAACAAATCTTATCGTTATTTATAAACTTAAATAAGCATATACACTTAGTATATATATAAATAAAATAAACATTATTCTTATTTATAGACTTAAATAACCATATATACTTAGTATATATATATAAATAAAATAAACATTATTCTTATTTATAGACTTAAATAACCATATATACTTAGTATATATATAACTAAAATAATATATTTTTATTATTTATATACTTAAATAAACATATAAAGATAGTTTATAGACATATTAGAAATAATAAAAATAAATTTAAGTATATTAAATTTATTTTATAATCAAAGCAATAAGTAAATTTCGTATTCAAAATTTTTATTCCATTTTATAAAAATATGTATGATTTAAAGAAAATTGGCCGAGTGGTTTATGGCGATAAGCTTGAGTCTTATTTGGTGTAACAGCCACATCCGTTCGAAT